TAAAAAAATCGTATTTTAAATTTCAATCAAGGGTGCCAATCAAGGGACCTTGGAAAAATATATTTGATCGTCTAATGTTTTTCGCGTCTTGTCATAGCCAGTTAAAAGATACCAAAATCGTGTTTTTACATATCCTAATTTTTTCAAATGAGACGAAGGTGGCTCAGTAGCATATTTGGAAAAATCATTTTTTTTACGAATAATTTGGTACCACACATTTGGTATTTCGAGTCGTTATGAACAATATATTACAATTTCAAATAAGCCATATGCGAATATGTCAAAAGTTGACATATATATGTCATTCTATTCTAGTTTCAATTATTCTTTGACCTTATGAAATATATTTTAAGTAAATTTAATTTTTGGTTTGAGGTCAGGTGTAAATAGATATTTTAGAGATTTAATCCATTAATTATTATTTATTGATATAAAAATTAATTTTATGACGTTTCGACCATTAACTTGGTATTTTTCATAATGAATAATAATCTTCTACTTGTTCCATCTGTCAGAATTAATAATATTTACATGTAAAAACAGTTAAAAATACAAAAATAAAACAATAATGACTTACCCTGGACGTAGATTTCTTACTTTTTGTTAAAAACTTCCTGCCATTCTATTCAAAGAGTGTCATTTTCTATCGAATAAAGTAAAAAAATACCAATGGTGTCATTTAAAAACCAAAAGTTGTAGTCATTTCCGGCGAAACAGGAAATGACCGAAAACAATTGAATACGGCAATCAATCCTTATGTCATATACTATAACGTACCAACCAAAATCAACCAACAAATCTCGTTTTTTATCTGAAAAAATAACAAGTTATAGGGGTGAGCCACTTTTAAGAAACACCCTTTAACTCTCATCCCTATTCACCATTAGATCCTACTATCCTTGTACAGGGTGTCCCATTTTCGTGTGTTTTATGGAGTTTCTCGTTTAAGAGTAGAGATACAAAGATGCTGTTCCATATCACCGTGCTAGTTTTTTATGAAACTAGATGCTACACACAGATTTGTCCTAGCCCTTATATTTCCTAAAATACAGGGGGCAAATTTGAAAATTTTGCATTTTTCGACTCACCTCGTATCTCGGTTTTCCTACAACTTAAAAGGTGAATAGTGAGTTCCGTAGAGTTTTTCACGAATTCAATGGCGTAACTAGTTTTTCGCTGAGAGATGTCGTCATTTTCGAAATATGGCTCAAATTTAGGTTTTTTAAATGGGACACCCTATATATTATTTTTTTTTATCTTATTAATCTTATTATGAGCTCCTTATTGTTAGTTTTACTTGTTAGTAAGCAAAACGTACAGGAAAATAATTATTGTTCGGCAACAATCGCTCGATATCATAGCAATAGTCAAATACAAAATTTGTTAATGTGATTTGTTAGCATGACCAGATCCTACCGAAAAAACGGAAAATCCCAAATTTCCGGAAATCCTACTTTTCAGGTAGGATTTACTAGGGTATACTTTTTTCCGGGCGTCACACTGTAAATTATAAGTAGAGAAATACCGGGTGCGTCTCAAAAGTAGCTCACTCCTATAACTTATACTTTTTCAGTTAAAAAAAAAGAGATTTGGTATATCAGTATATGACATAAATTGGGATTGATTGACGTATTCAAAATTGTTTTCGATCACTTCCTGTTTCACCGGAAATGACTACAATTGATTTTCAAATGGCACCCTCGGTATTTTTTTGCTTTATTCGATAGAAAATAACACTCTGTATAGAATGACATATCATATGTCAACTTTTTTACATTTGCGTATATGGTTTATATGAAATTATAACATACGATTCATAACGAAAAGGTAAATCAAATACCAAGTGTGTGGTATCAAATTATTCGTAAAAAAATGCTTTTTCCGAATATGCAAATGAGCCACCGTCGTTCCATTTGAAATAATTAAGATATGATTAAAAATACGATTTGGGCATCTTTTAATCGGCCACAACAAGACACTAAAAACATTACACTATCAAATCTATTTTTCCATGGCTCCTTGATTAAAAATTGGTGTTTTTAATATAGCCATTGCACTCTAGATTGAAATTTAAAATACGATTTTTTATTAAGCGAAAATGTCAAAAGTTGACATATAATATGTCTTTCTATTCAGAATGTCATTGTCTATCGAATAAAGTAAATAAATACTGAGGGTGCCATTTGAAAATCAAAAGTTGTAGTAATTTCTGGTGAAACAGGAAGTGGCCAAAAACTATTGAATACGTCAATCAATCCTAATTTAGGTCCATATACTAACATACGAAATCTTTTTTTTTTATCTGAAAAAATAAAAAAGTTGTTAGGGGTGAGTCACTTTTGAGACGCACCAGATATAGTTTTTAATTGTTTAATAAATTAATTAAGTAAGCGCGTATCGTTAAGAATATAATATTTTATAGCATTAAACAAACAAAAGGAAAATACATTTTCAGGACACTTCCCGACTGCCAGCGCACAATGGCCCTTTTTATTTGGCACACTCGATTAATCGGCCCTCTAATTTAAAATTCCCACTCCGACGCGCCACTTACAATAAGCGCCGCCCGAAGGTGATTAATGAAGGCCGTAATTAATATTGCTGCTGTCAAGGTCATAATTGTGGTTTAAGTGTAGCCTAATTTACGGCTCCTAAGGGCTAAATTCCAAATCTTCTCTAGCTTTTGGACCGGTCGGTGGTCGGTTGAAGCGAGCGAATTGAATAAATTCGAGGGGTCACCATAGGCGTAGTTCACTAAAATAACAGTAAAAATTCCATGTTTATAAAGGGTCCTGTAACAGTACTTCGGGAAACTGTGCTGTTCACTAGAGGTGGACAAAGATTGAACGAGTCGTGTATTTGAACGAGTATTAAAATGAATCGTGAGATTCGATTCATTGCTTGCAATCCGGTTCATTCAATTGAATCGTGACCAGCACGGATCTCACGGATAAGATTTGAACGATGAGCCGTAAAAAAGAAACGTGAGAATTGAATCGGATCACAATGCGATCGTTCGTTCCTACGGCTCAGCGCGCGCCGGCGCGGCTGTGGTATAAGCACAATAATAAATGATAACGTATAGACATAAATGCAGGCACCAATATTTAGACTTGAACAAAAGCCCTAAACAAACATCATTGGCGTAAAATGCAAACGATAAGAAAGTTATTTACAAGAAAAAAACTTATTTATACTGTGCTTTGTACGGGAGTATCTGTAAGGTATTTAATTTTCACGTTAATATTTTTGTTAAAACAATATTACCGACTATTAAATGTCGAACTAAAAACGAAATCGAATTTTTATGCAACTCCAAATAAGTATTGTTGGTCTCTGCTCAATGTGATAAAAACGGCGTCAGCGATGGTTATAAAATGAAGATCGCTATCATTTTATACCTATGTAAACTTATATGGGGAATGTCATCGATGGTCATTTCCCAGCCAACTTATAGTCCTACCAAATTATCGCCAGTAGTGCCAGTTACGATTCTTGTTTTTATGAAACGTAAATTGTGCATGTGGTTCGTTCAAATGAACGAATCGTAGGAGTCAATTCAATATGAGAAATCGAATCGTGTGATTCGATTCACTAAAAAAGTCGTAATGCCCATCACTACTGTTCACTGCACAAATTGATTAATTCCGATTTTTGAAAAATCCCAAATTTAAGTGTAAGAAAGGGTCAAACGGAGCACTTTTGTAGAGAGGTAAATTGTGTGCAATGAACTTATTATTTCGATTCAAAAAATACGTAGTTGTTCTTTGTCCACGGACTATTGGAACACCTTGTATATTTTGTAGGCCTGCTTTAGAAAAAACATTCTCAATTTTTTTTTCAGAAAATATGCAATGTGATGTTTTTTTTTATAAAAGACAAAAATATAGTAAATGCTAGAAGAAACATTTTACGAAAAAGAAGTCGTCGGTGGAGTTTTATTTTTTTATTTTTAAAAATATTTCTTCTATTTATGTATGGGTGGGGGTTGTTTTCACCATTCTCGTACTTTTTCTTGTTTTTGTAAAAGTCAAATGTTAAAGCGCTCACCAAAACATAGGAACCCCAAATCTCATTCAAATATGCATACCGGGTGCGTCTGAAAAGTGGCTAACCCCTATAACTTTTTTATTTTTTTCAGATAAAAAAACGAGATTTGATATGTTAGTATAAGACATAAATTAGGATTGATTAACGCATTCAATTCTTTTTGGCCACTTCCTGTTTCACGGTAAATGACTACAACCTTTGGTTTTTAAATGACACCCTCGGTATTTTTTTTACTTTATTCGATAGAAAATGACACTCTGAATAGAGTGACACATTATATGTCAACTTTTGACATTTTCGCTTAAAACAAAATTGTATTTTAAATTTCAATTTAGAGTGCCATGTCTGTGTTAAAAACACCAATTTTGTCACACACATTCGCCTTGTCCTGGCTGGTTAGAAGATGCCCAAATCGTATTTTTAATCATATCACAATTTTTTCAAATGGAACGAAGGTGACTCGTTAGCATATTTGGAAAAAGAATTTTTTACGGCTAATTTCGTACCACTCACATGGTATTTTGAGTAAAATTGTCGTTATGAACTGGATGTTGCAATTTCAAATAAACCATATTTGAAAATGTCAGAAGTTGACATATGATATGACATTCTATTCAGAGTGTCATTTTCTATCGAATAAAGTAACAAAATACCGAGGCTGTCATTTAAAAATCAAAAGTACTCATTTCCGGTGAAACCGTCAATCAATCCTAATTTATGTAATATACTAACATACTTTTGAGACGCACCCGGTATTGTATATAGCATTTAGAGGCCGTTTTTAGGATTGTTTTCAGTGGTACATAAAAGAATATTAATAGCTCGTTTAATAACATATTAGGAATGAATTACAGATATTTAACACTTAAGGTATAATTCTAAGGTTTAATAAAATTTTAATTTTTATAATAAAGGTTTAATAAAATCATTTATTTCTGATCTTTTTTCAGAGCACATTCAGTTACATGGAATCCACACAAACTAATGGGAGCTCTCCTTCAATGTTCAACAATTCACTTCAAGGAGGACGTAAGATCTATTGACAAAACACAAGTTTAATAATGGTAATTTGAATCTGAATATTTCAGGGCCTACTTATGAGCTGTAATCAAATGTCAGCAGATTATTTGTTTATGCAAGACAAGCTGTATGACATCAAATTCGACACTGGAGACAAAGTAATTCAATGCGGTAGACACAATGACATTTTTAAATTATGGCTTCAATGGAGAGCAAAGGTAAATTATTTTTAATTCTTTGTCAAAGGTAGTGCTTTTAAAAAAACTATTGAAGCCATAAGTTATTCAAATTAAGCATACAGGGTGTTTCAAAAAATGTGCCATATCTCGTCGACATATTCACCAGGGACGTGCATATGGGTTATCACTGGAATATTTTACTAAAAAAATACCCTCAGAGGTTTTACATTGATATGTACGCACACTGGGTTGGAGAACGTTTAGTTAAAAAAAATATGTGCGTCACTGACTTTTTTCCTATTATTAGCAAAAGAGTGTAGGGAATTCAACCCTAATTAAAAGCTGCATCTTCATATTTTGTCCAATTCAATCTCCTCGATGAGATAAACGCAATTTTATTAATCACAATTATTAAAATTAAAATTAAAATAAAATTAAAAAATAATTTGTTTAATATAATTAAATTTGTAACACTGATACACAGTGCTACCAACAGCAAATTCCCCAAAAAATAATGGTATTTAAGATAATTATTACAAAAGGCCTATTTTAAAAGTTTTAACATCCTGTAACTTTAAACCTATACATTGTCGCCATGTTTATATAATTTTTTTTTGTGGCGTACATATTTTTTTAGAAAAATATTCTAGTGATAACCCTAGTGCACGTCCCTGGTGAATACGTCGACACTTTTTTAGCATTAAAATATGTCGCATTTATAGTAACTTTTACCCTCAAAATTTCATTCGATTCGCTAAAAGTACTTGGAAGAAAATTATAATAAATCGAAAAAAGATGAAGACTTTGACCCCCTGTAGTTACGAAACAAAGCAGAATCGAACCTATTTAATATGAAAAATAAATCTGGTTTTTACGAGCGGAATCTCCCCACTAGAAATGGCACTTGTTTTTTTGAAACACCCTGTATAAGATACCAAATAGTGGAAGACATAAGAAAAAAATACAAATTACGTTCTTTGTATTAAGCCAGAGATTAAATTGAATATAAAATGATTACTATATAAAAAAGGACAATGAAAATAGATTCTTTTTTTTAATTCTATGTTTAACGTAAAATTAATATTGAATTTCTAATTCCAGTAAGGTAGATTGCATTAATAATAATACATAATTGTGATTAGAGATTTTTTAAGTTAACTATGTTTTTACTGGACTGACTGTGAGATAGTTTAAAAAACAATATGACAAAGAAGTTTTAGTAGAATCAATATCTGCAGGGTTTTGCTTGTTGCCTGATTTTTTATATTTAATTTAAGAAATTAAACAAAAACTTAGAATAAATTAAATAATGGACGTTTTATATAAATAAAATAAATTAGATTATTGAATTCTTAAATAAAAAAAAATAAAAAAGTTTGTTCCCCAGGTGAGGCTCGAACTCACAACCCCGGCATTGCTCACGACTACTGTCTTATAAGTACCGTGCGCTAACCAATTGCGCCACTGGGGACTACGCGAGCATATCGGATATGCCGTAATTGTCATAAACGTAATATTTCTCTAAATTTAAAAACAATAGACTGATTATTTTTAAGTATTTTTGTAACATTACCGAATATGAAATTGTACTTTTTAAATCTGACATTGAAACTAATATATTAACATTGTGTATTGTGATATGATAATGAGAATAAAATGAATATAATTATAGAGTGTTTTAAAAAACTGTACCTGTGCCATCATCACAAAAAAGGATGTGCCATGCGGGGAGATTCCTTACGTGAAAATAAGATTTATTTTTTATATAGACATACCTATATCCGATTCTGTTTTGTTTCATACCTACAGGGTGTTAAAGTCTTTTTTATTTATTTTAATTTTCTTGTGTTTTTGGCTATTTGAATGAAATTTTAACGCTAAAAGTTACTACATAAAAGTGCTACATATTTTAGTACTAAAAGATTATCGACAGATTCACCAGAGACGTGCATAAGGGTTATGACTGGAATATTTTTCTAAAAAAAATAACATGTGCGCTACTGATTTTTTTATCTTGTTAACAAAATTGTGTAGGCCGTTTAATGCTAATTAAAAATTGTATCGTTGTTGTATTTTGATATTTTGGTCGATTTCGATATCCTTGATGAGATAAACGCCATTTTATTACCCTCAATTAAAAATAAAAATAATAATAATACATTATTTATTTCCTCCTAATTTAATAATAAATTAGAGCGAAATTTTAGTAGTAATTAGACTGAGAATAATAATAATACGTTATTTATTTCCACCTAATAGGTATTAAGTGTGGCATATCATTGTACTCAGGAGGCCGAATTATTTCAAAACCCGAAATGAAAAATACAGGTCCGTATTTAAAAAAATTAAGTTGGCCTATGTATCTGACAAATTATCAGCTAATTTGAAAATCTAAAAATACTCAATCAGATAGTCCTGAAAAAGTGGCTGCGAGAATATGCAATTAGTTTTTTGATTTTCTAAAAAAGAAAAAAATAAAATGGATTTAAAAAAAAAGTTTTTTCTAAATAACTCAGCAATCCTTCAATTTTTTAAAACTTTTTTAACCATGTTCGTATCTATTACGGTTACCGAGATACCAATGCTCGTACCTCGAATTTGTAGCACCCTGTATATCTTCTATAAAATGTACTCAAAAAATAATTTTATGGTTACCTTTATAAACAAATCCTATACCTTTATCTATAGTTGTTCCACTATTGATAAGTACGAATAGGTCATATTTTTATCAAACACCCTAATAACGTCATTAACGAATAATGAATATCTTCCATTTATTATCGTACCTATATATTTCCTTATTTTAGGGAGATGAAGGATTTGAAAAACATATGGATAGACTGATGGAACTCTGTGAATACCTAGTTAAAAGAATCAAAGAACAATCAGACAAATTTTATCTCATCATGGAACCAGAAATGGTAAATGTCAGTTTCTGGTACATTCCATCAAGGTTGAGGAATATGCCACATAACAAACACAGGGAGCAAGAACTTGGAAAGGTATGTTATGGTTTGGTTTTGGTTTGGTTCTGTCCATCGGGAATATCACCGACAGTGATAGCTGTGTCTGTCATTTTAATTCACAGGAAAATTTTATTTTCTCTAATATTTTGGGTGTCCTCTGTCGAAATCTTCCCTGACTCGTTGGACTGACTTTACTTATATTGACAATAAATATTTACTATCTATAGACTGTCCAACGAAAGGATACTTGACAGTGACAGATATTTTCTGTCATTTTAAAACACAGGTAAATTTTATTTTCTGTCATTTTTTAGACGTCATTTTAGTCGTCCGTCGAGATCTTTTCTAGCTCGTTGGATGCACTTTAAGTCTTTGAATAAGAAGGCTAAGGAAGGAGCATATCAAAAATCTTTGGTCCACCGCGTTGGGCCTCAAATATGGCCGACTTAAATTCCGGTTTATCAGTGCCGTTCTAATTTTATTTAAAAAATGTAAAACTATGATGTAGGGTAGACGTGGGGTAGACTCAATATTTTTTTTTATTTTACTTTGTGAATAAATGTTGGTAGTTATTAAAATTGTTATAAAAATATAAAATTCTAATAAAAATTGATAAGTTATAATAATTATTTATAACCATAAACATCCGATACGCTACTGAAGCAGGTAAGTCAAATTGACGTATCTAAATTCTTTGACATCTAATCTTTGACAAGTAGTAAATAAAAGCAAAAATGCAAGAAAAAATATATAATTAGTTAATTTAAGTGAATTTCATAAATGATCGGTTTACTAATTTTGCAAGAAAAAAATATGTAATTAGTTAATTTAAGTGAATTTCATAAATGATCGGTTTACTACACGTATGTATATTATATAGTCACTTACTAGCGAAAAGTTGTTCCATTATTTCACTCAATTTTTGCCGAGATCTACCGCACGCTACACAACCAACTATTTTAGAGTCTTTTTCGATAAATCGCGATAGTGTCACTGTTAATTTAAGTTCTGCCACAATTTCCATCTTATAGATTTACTACCTTTATACAACTATCAGTAGTAGAATAAATAATAAATAACATAAAATAAGCTCCGTAAAGACTGACAAATCCACAAAATTTCAAATCAAATTCAAATGTGTCAAATGAATCGTCAAACAGAACTGTCAAGTATCCCCACCCTAGAGTCCTTTTTCCGCCCACCATGCATGAATACATGGGTAGCATTATGCTCCTTCCTTAGTCTTCTTATTCAAAGCTTTAACTAGATATGTAGTTCTAAGACCAGTAGAAATAAGCGGCATACAGTTCATACTCACCTTTTTAACAGCACTTAAGGGACATAAAGGGCCATTACTACCGCTTTCCCGTTTAAAATATTCTAATAAAGTTGCGAAGAGTTTTTTACGGTTATTAAGCTATCTTGCACACTTCGCATTAAAAGAGGTTCTAAAAAGAACAATGTTCGTCTGCAAGCTCCTGTAAATTTAATCTACTACCTATGTTGCCATATTGTTATGAAATTATGTTTCTTAACTACAACCTAAAAATTCCAAAAAAATATTCAAAAAATTCCAAATTTTTAAATTTCTTTTCCCGAAAAAAAAAACTCATAATCAAGTATCTGGGGTCGAAATATATTACCCCTAAAAATATTTGCTCTTATTTAAGACTCGCCCTGTATGTCCAGCGAGAATATTAAAATTATAGAAAACAGTTGTCAGTGTGGTCCATTTTTCGCTAGACAGCACATACCTGTCACCTGTCATGTACACTACCAACTACAGATATTCTTTTGTCTAATATACAGAGCTAGTGAAGAGTTTTATGACCTTCTATAGTAAAGATTCCATTATTGATACTATAGTGATGTAACGAATATGAATTTTTAAACATTCGCGAATGTAAATGCGAATATTAATTTGTTGCTAAAATTTGCTGTTTGTGTATTTTTTCTATGCGTTATGCATTGAATGATCTTTGGTATCTCCGAATAGCTATTTAACTATAGTGACTTAAAAACAAAATCATATTTATAATAATTGAACTTTAACCCATTTCAGATGTGTCCAGTTCTTAAAGCTAGAATGATGCAGGCAGGAACAATAATGGTAGGTTACCAACCAGACGATAGACGTCCCAACTTCTTCAGGAATATCATTTCTTCGGCAGCTGTGACAGAAAAGGACGTTGATTTTCTCTTGAACGAGATGGATCGTCTAGGACACGATTTGTAAACATATTTATCATAAAAAATCTCCTCGTAAATGATCTGCGTGTAACGGGTTACAAAAAAGTTATTTATTTCTCTAGATGTCTTTGATGTATCTTTCCTCACAAGGTAAATAATACGTGTTTTGTGGATGGTAAGATTGAGATTGGAATTTATAGTGACCTTGGAACTGTTTAAACAATTACAAAACACTTGTTTCTTTTATATATTTTTTCATTTCTAAGTATAGTAAATCCATCTTTATAGTTTGTATTGTCATAAATAGTTTCAAGATTGGTATGTGACCGACTCAAAATTATACCTGTTTATATCTTATGAAACCTTAGATTAACGAGATTAAACATTAAATATTACAATTATAGGCGCTTAATCATTTTAGTTTATTATAACTAACGTATTATAATTTTCATAAAAAGTCTACAACACTCGAATACTGACTGAGATAATAGATAAATATTCAACCAATACTACTAATAATAATGCTTCTGCATAAAAATGGTAACTTAGATGCCAACTAACAGACTTTTCTGTAATATGGTTGTTTATTTTAAAATGATTAAAGTTATATCATTTGTTTACGAGTTTTTTTAATTTTTACATCAGAAAATTTTATCAATAACTACTAATATTAATGTCAATGACTAAAGAATACAAGGACATGTAACGTCCATATACGGGCTGCAGCAGAATTTGTTACGTTACACGCCATCATTTTGGAGCCTACGGATGAGTGACCACCTCGTCAACAGCGATAATTTTAGCTATTTTTAATAATTTGTCGTGTGTAGTAAACTTTGTATAAACTTTATTACAATGGTGATGTATTCAGCTTTCAAGTGTAAAAGCCGCAACGATAAGAAAGAGCCAGGAGTTGCGTTTCATAAGTAAATAATCAGTCTACTCCACGTTTTTAGCGTTTTCTTATTGAATTTGGTAATTATTTTTCTGATATTATATGTACTTTATATGTGCTATACGTCGATACTAGTTTTGTACCTTTTGTTAACATTTAATACGTTTTTTTGTAATTAATTTGTATGATGCCACCGCCTACACCATAGGCGTAGTCAAAACATTTATCAAAAATATAAATATCCCTTATCAAACAGCTAAGTTAAGAAAAATATATGGCCACGTTTGGTGCCATGGTAACAATTTGGTCTCGGGTGCTATATGTCCTTGTATTCTTTAGTCATTGATTAATGTAAAAGCCATATAATACTACCCCACAACATGATTGACTACTTGCGTGACGTCAGAAACCGTTTTGTCGGGCCTTCTTCTTCACGAAGGTAGCGCCGTAGCGCCTTTGTCTATAGTAACAAAAATAAAGTAGATATACACGAATAGTTCATTTATTTGCTTAAAACTGATGAACTGCTGTTATTCAGAATAAATCTCGAAATAATAAGTAACTCAGTCATTAAATTATATAAACAAAAATTAAATAAAAATAGGTTTAAAAATACGCAAACCTGAAATACACTGGTTGAATTCTGGTAATTATAGATATTTATTTAGTATTCAAGATATGCTTGCAGCAATGTTAACTTTTTTTTAAAATGTTGGAATGAATGTTTGAACTTTGTTATTATTATGGATATACATATACCCCGATCATAAACGTTTACTCGTTTATTAAAATTTCAAAAATTCAGTACAGGTTAAGTCTTAATAAGTGCAAATATTTTTACGGCTCTTAGATTACAATAAAAAAAACATATTTCTTTTGCCGTTTTGAAATAAGTTCAAAATAAGCAAGTTATTTTACTTTGAAAATTAAAAGAAAATATTTTTTGCTTAAATTTTGAAAACCACTAGAGTTTTCTTTCTTTTAAATTTAATTTACTACCTATGTTGCCATAATACCAAGATATTATGTTTTTTAACTAAAAATTAAAAAAAAATATTTTCGAAAAATAAATAAATAAATAAATAAATGCCTTTATTGTCAAAAAATTTTTCAATTTGTGGACAAAGGTAAACTAACAAACAAAGTAAAAAAAACAAGGTATACAAACAAACAAACAAAAGATAATACAAAACATTATACAAATAATATTGTCAGTCTTATTGTTAAAATAAACATATATAAATGTTTACAATGTCAAAGAACAAAAAAAATTAAAATAATATTCAAAAATATTTAGCCAGTTTATAGCAAAATATCAATGACCTCTAAATAAATTAATTTCGATGTCATTAGTAAATATAGCAATAGCAAACATTAGACCAGTGTTTTCAAGATCAAATTCGATTTTCAATTCAAATATAATTCATTTACGGCGTAGAAAGCCTTGTCTAGTAAATAAGAGTTCAATGCTTTGCGAAATGAAAAATAATGTTATGGATTTGATTTCAAATGGCAGGTGATTATGCATTTTTTCGAGTTTATAATATTGAACTTTTAACTAACTCTGAGCGTGGGGTAGGTAGATAAAGATCTTGCTCCGCGTTCCTGACAATAAGTGTGAGATGGCCTTTCTTGAGAAGTTTCTGATACATGTTTACGTATTAGGCAAACGGATTCAAATATAAATAAGGAAGGAAGAGTCAATATTTTTAATTCTCTAAAAAAGCCCCGGCAATGAGTTCTGCTGTTTAGTCCCAGTGAATATCGAACAGCTCTCTTCTGGAGCTTGAAAATGCGGTCAAATTGAGCCGCACAACACGTACAAAATTTTCAATTTTTTTTTCACGAATTTTAATAAAAATCGTAAAAAAAACTCATAGGCCTGTGTGTGGGGTCGAAATATATCACACATAAAAACCTTCACTCTCTATAGTACTGCTAAGTAGTTAAAACATTTGGTAATTTTAATATAACATCTAAATCGATAAACAAAGTTTACTAATGTTAATGGGGTGTTGCCACAACCTCTATATTTCATAAAGATAATTTTGTTTTACGTAGATACAATTGATAAATATGTGTTAACAATGGTAAAATTGTCAATTATTAACTACATACTTTGTTATTAAAATCTGCCCAAACGAAAAGATCCCTGACAGTGATAGTAGTGTCCGTGGTTATTTTAATTCACAGGCAATTTTTGTATTTGCTGTCAATTTTTCGATATTATCTGTGAAAACTTTTCCTGGCTCGTTGGACAGATTTTACTACGATTACCTCTATCATGACATTTGTCAATAAACTATTTAAAGAAAATATTTAAATTAACTACTGGTCTACTGAATTAATATATTGAAATTATTTGGTGTAAAGTTTTGGTATACTTAATGTCAACAAAGTGTATAGAGTATCTCCTTCAAGACAAATAATATAATTAAAAACTAAGTATTCTAAAAACTTATTTTGATGTTTATTATTCAGGGTTTGAATGTTGCTATTGAGCTTTAGAAAATGATTTATACAGCTATTAGACTGTTTTACAAAAACTGAACGTTACTCATATGTATTAGGTAAAAAAAATATTCTATTTAAAAAGTACCTTTTACCTAGTTTTAAAAAATATTCCTGCAAGATGTAACTCTACTTCAAAATTACTATAGTACGACGTCATTATATCTAGACATTGTCAAAAGCTGCTGATATTTTGTCCAATATCTTTGTTGACAGCCGGTATAAATATAGATCATAATTAAACAAAAATATGTTAAGTCCTAAAAATGTCTTTATTTTGTAGATATATTAGAAATCTGCATCTTATAAAAATTCACCATATTTTCATTAATGAAAAAAACATGTCCATTATAATTTATAATTTTAAGTTTATAACTATTAAAATAATTTTGATTAAAACGCCAATTATTAGCGTCAATTGAATATAGAATTTAATAGAATGTTGGTATTATTATAAGCGTTACATATATAGTTGAAATAATAAATATTTTATCTATTATTTATTTAGAAACCTACCGTATCTAATAATATCAGAGTAGCAAATTTGTTACAATTTACAATAATTATTAAATTGCATATTTCTATTGAAAATATTTACATATTTGATTATCAAATCATATCAGTTATCATTAATTAAATTTGTTACTTATATCTTTGTTATACTATAAAATGAATGTTTAAAATCTGTTATTTTTATCTTCATACTCGTATCATCATAGCGAGCATCATACTAAAAAATGTTTTTTAATTTTCGAAAAAAAATCGATTGATACAAAAAAGTGAAATGTATAAAACATTGAATTTAAATATAGTAAATGTCAACATCATCCAATCATCTGAAAAATATGATTATATAGTTTATTTAAAGAAAAATATATATATATATAGATCGACTGTGTTCATAACATGAAAACTGAAGTAAGAAATTGTTGAATATGATGGCTAGAAATAAATGTCAATTTCTTCTAGAATTTTAAAAAGTTTTGGAAAAAGCTACAAGAAAATGAGTCAATTCTGTTATAGCCTTGTTATAGATATATTCTATTATATATTTTTATGTTTTCCAGAAATTTCATATTGATATAAAATTCGTGAAGTACCGTATGATCGAAAATAAACGGCGTCAGCGGTAGCTATGAAATGAAGATCCCTGTCATTTTATATGGGAAATGTCATCGATGGTCATTTCCCAGCCCACTGGACGCAGCTTTTTAATCATACGGTATTACAAATTACAATATGATATACATATAGTTATGCAGTAAGTTAAAAAAAACACTAATGTGTTTTGTTGGAATGTAGACTCCCTGATTGAAGGAAAAAAGATGTTCGAGATTTTACCGACAACCCCGTCATAAAATGATGCTAAAAACGGCTAAAGCAGCCAAACATTTTTAATACTATTATAAGCTTTATCTTATCTGAGTTTGGTAAGGTGCCCGATTATATTTAAAAAAATTGAGTTAAATTATAACTGGAGAAAAATACTTATAAAGAGTATAACTGGAGAAAAATACTTAAGCCTAGTTAACATGGTCAAAGTGTACTTGAATCAAACACAAACGCCCAGGTGTACTTGGACCAAATACACTTGGACGCCACTTTGATCGTATCAACCGATTTTAACAGTTGGCGCGATGCAAACAGCGTCCAAGTGAGACACGTGCAGCATGCAATAATTGAGCGTCCGGATTGCACGACATTAGCGCGTGGCCGTAGGCAGCCCAGTAGGCAAGCGAGACAGCGACGCGCGGATTTAACAAAATAAATAATTTTAAACCTGCTGTCATTTCGTTAATAATTATCGCATCGTGTTGATTTTTGCATAGAAATACTCATGAGTCTTTAGCGCTTCCGACAAGCCTAAATAACTGGATTATTTTTTATATTTTCGATTTGTTTACATTGCCCGAGCATATTATAACTTTGAGATAAAAATCTCTGTTATAAATTTTAAAACTGACAGATATGAATACTATCATTTAATTAGTTATTCATTTAGTTACAACATATTCAAAATTTAGGTCTATCGGTTGATGCTAGCAGTAATAACGAGTATATATAAAAAATGGTCAGTACAACGCTCGCCGTTTTTAGCGCACGTTCAGCTTTCGGTTTAGTTTTAGCGCTATTTTTGCAGAAAATAAATTCTGAACTTTGATTAAACGACAAGAACATTATCATTGCCAATATCACCTGGTTACAATGTAGTTCTTTTTTCAAAATATTGCATTGTTTTAGCTTAAAACAAACTTGAATTATGCGGATTTTTTGCGAGAGCTACCGGAGCTGCGTTAATAAAGAGATGGCTATGTACTTCAATCATAGCCACAATAGACTGTAATTTTACCTCGGCACGAGATTTTTTGAAAATATTGCACTTCCATTTATCCGGATTTCTACTGACTTTTGACCTCGCTTTTGACCTTTCTTTTCGGTCGCATTTTCCTCTATTTAATAATAAATAATTTAAAAAAAAAAGCACAAATACTACTGGTAGTGAACAAGCTGTAGCAAAAATTTTCTATACTCCGTGTAAACAAAAGCCTATCGCAAATACGATTTCGATTGACATAAATTTAACCATCTCTTTATTAACGCAACGCCGGTAGCTCTCGCAAAAAAAGCCGCATAATTCAAGTTT